ACTACCTACAAGGTCGTTTGCGCGCACGCATTCTTTGATACAAGTTGAGCAGTGCCTTGCTTCGCATGGACCTAGCCGAACCTGATTTGCACCTCACCCTCGCTTTCAGTTTGCTCATGCATATGCATACGCTGTGCACCGTTGGTGGGATACATTCCTGCCTAAAAGCAGATTGCATCAGAATGCAGTTTTGCCCTGGACGTCCTGTACTGAGAGCGGCTTGAGAAGAATTCATCGCCCCGTTTCACTTCTGTGTTGGTCCTCGGATCCGCACCTTTTGCTCTTTTAGACTAGTATGGACATGAGCCTGGCCTGTTTGGTTCTGTGTTTGTGGGTGTTGGGTGTTTTGGTTTGGTTCCTTTGTTCTCTTTGGTCAGGCTCATATCCCCACACTCCTCATACGAATTCGACACGGTGACTTGTGCCTCTCGGCACACATAGCGCCCCTACCCGTGCAAAAATAGAATTGGTAGAACTGCTTGCCAGAAACTTTGACCTTGACACCTTCGGTTGTGAGTTAATACTCATAGCAGAAGATACCCGGAGCCCCCTCAGTGACCCTATCCATGAGGAGCTCTGGGAGAACAAGGGGTTTCAATTGGTCATCCATAAAAGCTTCAGGCAAGTGCGCTCTAAAGAGCAGATACGCCGAGACAATTATGAAGACCGCCCCAAGGCTATCTGGGTCCCTGCCAATGAATCAGGCATCCTCCCAGCGAAAGCCTTCTTTGCCCTTGCCAGACTTCGACACGTGCAAGTCGAAGTGGGCTATCACACCATAGAGCGACAGGTGTGGCGCTGCTGCCACACCCTCACTATTGTCAAACTACCTAGCTCTGTGATAACCATAGCGAACGCTGCATTCCAAGGATGCTACGCGCTAACAATGCTTATCCCTAGGAGCCAGAATCTTTGCAGAATGTTGTGCCCTTGAACAGGTAGGAGTCCTCACAGGAAACTCCTGCCGACTAGCCAGGGGTGCTACCATCTCCCACTATGCGTTTGAAGGCTGTGGAAGACTTAAGCAAATAGGTCTCCCATGGACCAAAGCCATCACTGATGTGCGGGCTGCAACATCCCCCCCAGAAGGATTGCCAACAGGGTGCTTCTATTCGGCCGGCATCCAAATGATAAACATCACGCACTCAACCGAGTACATCCGGCGCAAGGCCTTTGCACAATGTCAGCAACTGACTGCGATTGACCTGTCACACACACAAGTGGGCATCATAAATGTGCAGGTGTTCTTCAATTGCCGATCCTTGACGCAGATCATCTTACCAAAGCGCCTCACTGAGATTCGCGCTGAGGCGTTTGAAGCCTGTATCTTGCTGTGTACGGTAGCGCTTCCACGACAGCTTCACAGCATTGGACACAGAGCTTTTGCAGGGTGTAGCAAACTAGTATGCCTCACCTATCGCAGCGCCGAGGCCGACAGGCGCCGTCTACAAGTAGCCGCCAATGCTTTCGAAGGGTGTCAGGCACTAACCATCCCCGGAGGAATCTGCTATTTATCGGTACGGGGTAGCTAACACACCCAACAACACTTACATTGGGAGTCTCAAGAAGACGACATAGCACGGCAATGCTAAGAAAAAACATCCAGATGGCTGCCCGTGCAGTTGTCTTTCCTCAATCTGGGAAACAATGACAGCTACTAGTAGCAACAGTCAAGGAATTGTGAAACAAGAACGACTGCAGCCTGCCGCAAAAATTTTAGGCTCGACGACGAGAACACAGTGTTGGTCAGTGGATTGTAGGCCACGCTCACTGACCACATTTCAGTGTCTAGCACGCAATGGAGTGAGGAAAGGTCAATGATCATACATTTGATCCTGACCACCTTGGCGGGAGAGGAAGCCCAGCTGACCATCGAACTTCAAGAATTCGACCGCCTCCAGGAATTTGAAAGTGCAGTCTTGGAGCAACTTCCTGAGATAGGCGAAAGTAGCACCTTTGGATGCGAGTTAGACTTCATCTGTCGCAACTCGCAGCAGAAGCTGGTAGATCCGATTTGGCACACCTTACGAGACTGTAATTGTTTTACTGTCGTAGTGAGCCCTTGTTTAGAGGAAGCTGAACATAAGGGACAAATGCAAGGCGAAGCCAAAGCCCTGCGAGTCCCGTTCTACTTTATCGATAGAGTTTTTCCGCGAGCTTTTTCGCATGTTGCAAAGGTCCGGCACGCGCAGGTTGATGTAGGCTATCGTGTCATAGGGGAGGGCGCATGGCACCACTGTCAGCACCTCCAAATCGTGGATCTAGCCAGCACGGTCACCAGTCTACAAACGCGAGCTTTCTGCCGCTGCTATGCACTTCGCAGGGTCTTTGCCCCAGGTTGTAAGGATTATGGGACACAGGTCTTTGCAGAATGCTGTTCCCTGTTGCAAGTAGGAATCAGGAATGACACCACCAATCAGCTTGCTCCACAGGCAGAACTAAGGCCCCGTGTCTTCTACAAATGTACAGCATTGCGACAACTTGGTCTAGAGCTGTCGGTGTATAACTCTAACAGCGCGATGCGGGTCTTGCCGGAGTGCTGCTTTCTGGAAGCTGGCTTAACCTCATTAACCTTGCCTTCAGATTTTACATGGATAGGATCGGCCGCATGTGAACGCTGCCTGCAGCTTCAACTGGTGGATCTCTCGCAAACAAAGATCACAGAAATTATGAACTGTGCCTTGGCGCATTGTCAGCACCTGCAAATCTTAAAGCTTCCAAACAAGCTGCGAAAGATCCAGCAGGAAGCCTTCCTCAAGTGTGTCTCCTTGACGGAAGTCAGCGTGCCGCCCACCCTGCTCTATATTGCAAGGCGGGCCTTTGGCGGATGTACACAGCTCAATCGATTCCAAAGAACTGGCAAAAGAATGACTTGGCGAGGCACATACTCTCGGGCCAATGCGTTTCTGAGGTGCGATAATCTTGATATGCCAAAGTGGGTTCGATGGATACCACGCAATTCGACAGATGAGGATCAATGGGCAGATGACTCCTTTAGAGTCCTCAACTGAGGGTACACGGAACCGCATGTGGCAACTTTGCAGCTGCCATGCTTTTTAGCTAGCGCCCGTGTGCTGGCCCTGCCTACGTCAGAGGCCATCCTCGCTGAGTAATCAAACGAGCAATTTGCCCACCAAAGAAACATCCAGGAGTACTTTCGATAAAGTGCTGATAACTAGGACCTGGAGCGCAATAGGAGCGTAATAGGACCATTTGCCACACACGGCGACAAATACACGTCAACCCCAGCATGCTAGACTCTGAGACTAGCACCCGTGTGTTGGTCCTAAGAGTGCCAATCAATTTCGTTTTGCTTTTCACTTTCGTTGGCCTGAGTAGCTAGACAGTGCCCAGGCTGCTACCCGCGTAGTGGTTCTGGATGGGTACAGTGTACAGAATTAGGAAAACGGCGTCTCACTCTGTTTCACCTATTTTCGAGTAGCTCATGGGGCGCTGCATGTATCGGCCTGATTATACCTGGCCACGTTTGAAAGATGCAGTCAGATTCACAATTGCAACATTTTTGCAGCACACTTCAAAGGTCCTTGCTTATCCCCTGCCTTCTTTCGTTGCTCATGCTGCATGTCTTGCTTTGCTCTCGGCAATGAGCCGTTTTTGGAGAGGAGCGCTTGATGTGCTGTCTTTGTTGCCTCCCCCTTGGGGGAGGTACGGGAGATGCAATTTCCTTTGCCTCTTTTTGAAAGCTCGCCATTGGCATCACACGGTCTTCACTTTCGGCATGTTGGACATCCCGAGCAAGGGGACTGTGGTCTTCCCAGGTTGTCACCTTGGCTTGCATGAGGCTTGTAGCTGCCTGCCGTCAAGCAAGTGATCTGATTACGAGTCCAACATGAAATCTTGTGGACCAAGCATGTAAGCGCGCATTGATGTCAGTCATGGGACTCTTTCGTGCTCTGAAGCAAAGCCTGTCCAAGCAAGATCCTTGCTTAAATCAACCGCAGTTGTTTGAGCTTTACTTCTGTGGGCAGCAGATCTTGCATTTGTCAGTTCGTCGATGGACAAGAACTTCTGAGTGCTTTGCTGAATTCACTGCCCCTGTTTCACCTGTCTTCATGCCTTCTTGGCACTTCGAGTTACTCTACAGGTTGCTCCCTTTCCGGCTGTTTTTGGGGTTGGTTTGTTTTGTTGTTTGGGGGGTGGTTTGTGTTGTTGCTTTCTCTGTTAGGTCGCAACCTGGCTGGTAACTCTCTATTCACTCGACTAAGGTGACTTGTGCACAACCTGCACACACAGCGCCTCCACTCGTGCAAAAAAATGCAGTGATAGCATGGATGATGCAAAGCCAGCAAAACAGAGCTGCTTGACGTTGCAGTGCTTTTCATTTGCGACGACCAATTTACAACAATGAAGGCCGCACGCGGGGACGCAACACAAATCGAGGAACAGAGAAAACATCGCATGACAGTTTCACATGTTGTATGTATGGTTTCCAGGTTCATCCGCAGAAGCCTTCCAGTTCCGCAGCGTCAAAAAAAGGCGAATTGCAGTGTGCAAGATAATGTTTGAATTGTTGAAGGCTTGCAAGAACGAAAAACCAAAGAAACAAACATTTTTGTTGACGAAAATTCGCACCAGTTTTTGGAAATTCAAGTTGCAGAACAGGGCCAACAAAAACACCATGCCATGCAATTGTTTCATGTTTTTGCCAACACGAACGCTATGGACATGGGAACTAAGGACACGGTCTTCCACACAATTTTGCAGCACCTCTTTTCGTTTGTGCGTGCCATTGAATTGCTACGTCGAAGCATTTAGCTCGAAAGATAAGCCGCGTTGGTTTATCGCTTCCATGGAAGTTTGGGAAAGTGCACGTTCAGTGGAAATCCACTTAGAGTGCTTTCAGGTTCAAGTGGGTTCCAGTCCATTTTTCGATTTGTTCACTGACATTCAGGACGTACAGTAGTGAAGCAGTGTAAAACCCTGTGAAACTTCGCATGCTGACAACGCGTCACTCTGTTTTTTGTGTATGTCCATTGTGTCCAGATCTGTCCATTATTTCAGATTATTTCCCCGTGCCAATGATGCACGAAGAATATTTTTGAGCCACGGGTGATACGTGGCGTTGTTCAAGGACATTGTCATTCCATTGAAGGTTTTTGTTTTTCGACTGAATCGGTTCAGGAATGCCACTTGAAAGCTTGATGGTTTGTCGGGCCCTGAACAGTTCCAATTTGCAAAGACATTCGACTCCGTGCATGTGGGAACAGCCAAGGTCTTTGCTTGTTTTTAACCAGCAGAAGCTAACATCAGTGCTGTACTTGGCGATTGCGTTGAAATTGCATATGCATTGAAATTGGTGATCAGAACTTAGGGCGGATGGCTGGAGGGTTCAACATTGCGTGCAACCCAGCAATCAAGACACTCAGACTCAGGCCATTCTTGAAATGCAGTGCGTTTCAGATCAACGATTGTCAAACAGATTTCAGCTGTGTCTCACCAAGGTCAACACACTTCTTTTTCCAGCGCCCGAGTCGAGTTATGACTTGAATACCTTTCCTGAAGAGGCAGCAAACCTGTGACTGTGGGCACCTTTTTCGAGGTTCCTCGGTCTCATGCTTTGAAATTCTGTTTCAGGAGCTGATTTGGCTGCCACGAAATCTTGATCCAGATGACCCAGATGTAGAGGCAATGCTTTCCAACAATGGAATTGGACCGGACCCAACACGGAGCAATGCAACACCTTTCAGGCCAATGTTCCATGCCTATTCATGACCTCCAACTCAGCTCGATTCATTATGCTGTATTTGCACAGCAATGCCGAGGACTGCAGTTTTCATTTTGAAATTAAATGTGGCGTGGGACGTTGTGGAGTCACTTGAGTGCATAGTTCCAGTCAGCTGCAATCGATATCATACTATTTAGTGTTGGCAATCTTTGCACTTGGAGGATCTTGGGCGTTGCTACAACTTTTGCAACATGCTTCGTATGCAATTCCAGGCCAGCAAGTCCTTCCTTGAAGATGTTCATAGTGTGTACACTTGGTTTGCAGGTGAATGTGCTTGCTGTAGAATATCCGGGCTATGGAATATGTCCTGGTGGTCAGGTGCAAGTCTTAGTGAGGGCAAACCTGTGTTTGCTACAAGTCATCCTGTGATTCGAGGCAGACGAATTGTCGGTGACGGAGAATGCGCGTTTAGCCTTCCGCTTTACCACAGAGGCCATTTTGTCCAGTTGAGGGTAGTGACGGTGTAGGACAGCAAGGAGCAAGGAACGGCCAGCCGGTGAGCGCCGAGTTGCAAACATGTTTCAAGTTATATCATTTGGCAGTGAAGACCTCGCTCTGGTAAATAAACAGAGCATGTCAGTGTATTTCTGCTTCTTGCATTCATTTATTGGACCGGCACGATGTAGAGTGAAATTCCACAATTGGTGTAGTTACAGTTTGTTTGTCATATCTCTGAGTATTCAGGTGCTTCAATTTCCAGCCGAGGCCTGGCGGTAAGTGTTTGCAGCTTTCCTGGGATAACAACTATATATCCAAGCGGCGCATTTTCGCAGGATATCATCATTCTCGGTCGTTCAGTGGGCAGCGGGCCAGAGCCTTTGCTGTTCTCAGGAGACATCATTTTCATGGAGACTGGGTCCCCACTATTTGGTGAAACGTGTCGGGGAGACCGCTTCCACCTACCTTTGGCATGCTTTTGCAAAGTGTGCAGCTTTCTTATGAAATTGACACCCTGCATTCCGCAATCCTAAGATCCAATTTACAGCCCTATCGCAGAAGCGGTTAAGGTTCTTTCGTTTGCTGAAACCAAGGCCTGCTCTTCACCTAGCAGCCGAAGCACGAACCTACGGGGTGTGCTGCTTATGTCAGAGATGGGTTGAGTTGTTTTGCCATCGTTCCAGGCCTTGCTGGCAAATCGTTCCAAGGTCATTCTGATATGTCCTTTCCTATCTGTCAAAGAGGTAGTTCGGTGCCATCTTGGCCGAGTTGCGCCAATCGCTGCATGTTTTTGGATTCCCAACATTCAGTGTGGCACATTGATGAGATGCCAGGGATTTTATCGAAGAGCGCTTCCCCAACAAGGTGGAATATATGTATAATATGTATGTATATATATATATATACATGTTTAGTGCACATTTTCTTTTTTAACGATAGTGGTCTTTTGCCGCAGGAAAAGATCAAGAACATCTCGGGCTTTTTGTTGGTTGTTCATGGAAAGAAGGCCTGACTGAAGAAAGTAGGCCAACTACAGAAAACAATGCTTTGGCTGGGCCCACTCTTGGCAGGATACTGTTGTTCCCTGGACTCATGGACAAGAGCTTTATGACACATGCACATGCCGAAAGCGGTTGGCTCTGGACTCAAAAGAGTGTAGTTAGATCGATTAGCTGTTGAATAGTTTCTTCTTTGTTGCACATGGAGTTTGCGCCAAACGTTCGCGCTTTTCTTGCAACAAAATCTGCTTCAAAACATGCTGCCTGCACTGTGTGTCGGAGAGTTTTCTAACTGAGCACCACCTCCTGCCTTGAGGTCACTCCAGAAGATATGACGCACAATGCGAGTTTGCTTGCAGCCATTGCCTGAAAGAGCTTTGAAGGTTCAACAGTGTATTCACTTCAAGAGCATAATACAAATTGAGTCTCCAGCAAATTCCGAGGACCCTACAACTTTCATTGTGCCGGTGCTGCAGTTTTTTGGACTTCCTGATTACAACTTTGAACCACTAAGGACTCGTTTTGCAAGAAGTGACATCTCCGAAAGTGTTTATGCACAGTTTATGAGACTCCACTTCTCTCCAGGATCCCAAACTGGGTTTTTGATGCAAGCCTTACCCCAACAATTCTACGAACTGAGCGAAAGGCACTGTGACAATCAAGCAGAGTTCTCGAAGATTTGTGCGTTTGACACGTATTGATGTTTCTCGTGGTTCTTTCGTCAAAAACGGTTTGCTAGCGCTGGGTTTGCAGGCTGTCACTCCAAAAAGACTTGGAGCTACATGCAATGGACGCTCGGGGCTGAAGAGGGTGCACTCAAAGACAATCACCTTCCCTACGTGCAGCAAGCAGTTTGAAAGCGAAGAGCAAGTCGAGACTTTCTTTTGTGCGATTCGCACACCGTACCTGAAGTCTGAGTCTCAACATAAATGCTTGTGAAGCGACCTAGGCCCCCACTGCTTGAACAACATTGCATCGCTATAGCATCCCCAAAAGCACCTATTTGTGGGCAACGCTCGACTCCAAACCCTAGCACAGCCCGTGTTGGGATAGAGCGTTTTGGGAGTGACATGTTGAGCACTCGGGGAGTGACATGGCCAGGATGTGCCAGCAAGGCCACTACCAAACAGGTGCCTATGAAAGAGGGCAACCATCCCAAGCTTGTTCCTTGTTGGTGCTTTACCAATGGCCACTCATCACTGGGCAATTTGAATTTGGGTTATGCATTGTGTTCCTGCCCACAGCGGGCTGATGAAGTGCGCATCTTGAAATTGTTCCTTTGTGCTTTGCATGTCAACTGCAAATCATTTTTGAAAGACGACTGTATCTAGTTTAGCAAGACGGGCGAAGGAGGGGACCGACATAGATCTCATCGAGGCATGCTTTACTGGAAACATTTTTTGCATCATCTACAGCATTCAGCTGATAAGACTGCAGCTTGTCTCACTGAGACGATCTGCAGATATCTGCAGAGAATCAACTGTCAAGCCAAAGAAAGATTTCTTATTTACTTTGAAGTTAAATTTCCCTAACAAGTCTGGGAACCAATTCAATAGTGCGAGCACTTCTTCAAGGAAGCTCCCCGCACGCCCTCAGGCAGGGGGAGCTTCCTTGAAGTGTGTGCTATCCTGCGTCCATATGTAGTAGCTTCTCAGTAGCTAGGAGCGAACTTCTCCCTTACTTGATTAAGTAGGCACCTACTTACTGTAATTAGTAATTAAGTCGGAGCGAGCAAAAAAACATAGAAAAAAATTAATAAAGTTGACAAGGCCTACAGGCCAGACATGGATGCTTTCCATATGGACGTTGCTTCGGATGCTTCGACACGGACTGAGGTGCTCCCAAGAGTCAATCACGTCGCCAACAAGGCAGGGTTCGAGCCGACTCGAAGGTCCTGCTTTGGATTTGAGTTTTGTCATCAGGGCCCTGCTTGGAAGCTTTGAAGGGGCCTCAGCATAGCCTCAGTTGATGAAGCGCGTTTGCTTTGTAGCTTAATATAAAAAAGTGAAGGAATTCTGCAGCTCTGCCGAAGTGCCTGTCTAAACTTCTAAACATTGCTGTGAGTTATTTACGCGCACAGGGCTATGTAGGGAGGCAGAAGACTCCTTATGGCAATTTTGTGGCCGCAAAGAAGCACATTCTAGACCAGAACAAGCGGGACAAGTGGCATTGGCAAAATTCTTGTCGACCTAACGGCGTTCCGCAACGAACGCACTCCCTGCTGTTGTATGTTAGTCACTCGAGAGCACGACTTCCACGTCCGAGTGAGGCCAGAGACCTCCAAGAGCGACTCTGGCACTTTGAACACAGCTGATGCTGTGCAGCGGCTGGACTCTGAGTTGCGAAGCGTTTTGGAATCATTAGGGACACTTCGAAGAATGTCCTACCAATCACACTGCATAGACATTTTTCAAGCACAGATATACTATAGTTGAAAGTGTGCTCCACGCCAAGCCAGGTTTCTAGATTGGCAGGAAGGACGATCCGCAGTTTGCGAGACCAACAAAATCCAGCATCTTGAGCGTCACAAGGACCTTGTTTCCAGGAACTCGCCATCTTTCCTTTTCGAAGCAATACTGCAGATAGTCGCTTCACAGCAAGCTCCTTTTGCTGGCTGTGTTTGTCAGGAGTTTGCATTGGGTCCAGACGTTCAGGCGAGTGCTGCATGCCAACCGTGGAACCACATGCAGTGCTTTGCTGAGAAATCCGAATGTGCTGCCTCCTTCAAGGCTTACTGCAGGTCTAATGAGTATGATGATATGTCTTGGTCTCAGACATGACACTTTTTGAACTTGGCTGCTTGTGCACTTCTCCAGGCCTCAACCCCCAGATGATGATGGCTATTTCAAGGCGAAAGTGGCTATTGTGATTTATCCTTCTTTTAAGACCAACATGATCAGTTTCGCTTGGACGCACGGCCTGCTTCTAGCGACCGCAAGGTACCGAGATCGCACGATGCGGGACCGACCCTCACGGCTCCAGTCTGCACCCGAGGGAGACCTCGCTTTTCAAGATCTCTCCCCAAGCCCTTCAGATGTCTTCAGGTCCTGCAAAGTCCTGAACTTGGAGCCGAGAAGCCATGCAACTGGGTTCCAAGCTTAGCCACATCGTTCACCCGAACAAGGAGGAAGCATGGGCATCAAACAAATCCCGGCAAGCCGAAGCTTATGTGTTGGTTACATCATTGGATGTTTCGTCATGAGTCAAGAAACCTATACACTACACACCTTCTGACCTAAGTCTATTGCTGGGGGTGGTCCCCGATTCCTTGCCTTGTTTACTCACGGACCACCGGCTGGAGATTCCACCAGACTTTGCCTTCCTGTACTCATTTGACATAGTGACATACCGTAAGATACTGTAAGCAATTTTTGTGAACGAGTTTCCTTGGACATGGCCTCGGCTTTTGAAACCACTGTATTCACGTCGCTTCGCGACGGTACCCGCCCGCACCGCATGGAAGGGGCCAATATTTCAGTGACTTCTAGGGCTATGTTAGGCAATATCTTCACTCTATTCCTCTATTCCAGTCCCTTTTGAGCCTTCGTTGGGCCATGTTTACGACGTTCAAGTACCTATCTCGGGAAAGCATACTTGAGATAGTGACTTCTGGGGTTATGTTCGACCATATGGGAGCTATGCTCGTGAGTCTGCTCCTGACCACCATTCCTGGACCTTATCTTTCCTTATCTCTGCTCCTGACCAGCCACGTACCCGGACGTTCAAGTCCCTATCTCGCAGACACGTCCGTTAGATAGTGACTTCTAGGGCTATGTTACGCAATATGGAAGCTATGTTGAGCCCCGTTAGGGGCACCTGTTCAGCCAAATGTCCGGCCTCAGCCCAATTACACTTTACCGCTCAGATGATGCAGATGATGCAAAGCAGAAAATTGCACTTCTTGCATCACTAAAGGCTTCAAGATAGCAAAAGTTAGCACGAAGCTATCTTCCAGCACTTTAAGCCGGTTCCAAAAACGTGAAAAAGCACAGGATTCTAGAGCGAAAATGGCCCCCCCCCCTAGCTAAAGCTATTTAGTACTTGCGGTACTTGCGGTATAACGCGTGCCTTATAAAACGCCTCAGCACCTTCGGTGCGGGCGGATTTGGGTAGCCACACGACTTCTATGCGCGATAGACTGCAAGCAGGCTACTTACTGGATGAAGTTGTTGGCTCTGGTCACAACATTGTCATCAATTTGTGCTCACCGCAAAAATGAATGTGGAACGTCACTGCTGGGGGTTCAGCGCCAGAGGTTCGGCTCGTCCTAGGCCACCGCTGCGAAGTTGTTTAAGGCAGTAAGGGATCAGATAGGCAGTGGCTTTATACGCACAAACGGTATTGGTGCTCAGAGCATTTTCACCTAGAAGCTTTGCTATGCTGACGCTAAATGGATTGACCATGAGCAGGTGCACAACTAACAGTTTCTAACCCAGACAGGACGCTGCATAAATAAGCAGCATATATACGCAGAATATAATATACATTCACACATGAAGATAGGCTTTTCATGGTTTGTCACTGGTTCGGGGAGGGACCGGCTGACTGAACCAATTGATCCGACTGCCAAAACCACTCCTCCCAAATTCTGCTGGCACCAGCTGCTGCCTTTTCTTTTGTTTTGCATGGGCACACGCACGCAGATTTCGAGAACAGGAGGGGATTACGCATCTTGCTTCAGGGGTCTTAACAGAACACAAACTTATGCGGTTGGTGTACTGCAATGGAACGGAGTCAAACGTACAGAACGTCTTGCACCTCAACAGTCTTTTATAAGCTTTAAATCTTACATCTTCCTCTGCTGATCCGCATGGCCTTTGGTTTACACAGTCAGAGCCTTTCGATGTGCTCGACATATTTTGGCGGAAAAACCGAGGATGCTTGGATGTGTACCATGTGTGTGTCTGGTGATGCACGCCCAGCTGAACAGGCTGGGAGACCTGCAGGCTGTACGGTACAAAAAGTGCTGCGAACGAGCAGTGACCCCACCAAAATTTTCTGACAGGAGTGCATCACAGTGGCCCAGCAAATGCAAGGAGACGAGGTGCCATTGCAACTTGTGGCGCCTTTGGAAAGCTGACATTTAAAGAGTTTGCTTTGTGTTTTTACTGGATTTTACTGCGAGGTTATTTGGAAGCCTTGGGCGTGCCGAAGTTCAGAGTTTCTTTCAAAGCACTAGCAGCACTAGCACCTTGAAGGGAGTTTGAACAAAGGTGACAGTTGGATTGTGAATGTGGATATATAGCTCAGAGTAATGATTTTAAGGCCTTTGTATATCTTACTCTCCCCAAGTATCTGCAAACTCTCTTGTCGATGAATGAGACCTGCGATCCCACGGCACAAGAAAGGCATAGCTTGGCTGCTACCCATCTTGTCTCAGTTGCAGTGAGTTGACTTTGATCTCAGTCGTGCCAGATGGTTGCAAATTAGAAGTGGCTAGCAGCCATTATATATACACTACCAAGGGGGTTGTTTCAAGACAATGATGGAATCATTGCTCAGTATTCATGCAAAACTGCGGAACCATTTGCATACATATACAAGAGGGGCTGTTTGGTCATTTTCCCAAGGAGGTCATGCTCAGAGTGCGAACGCAGGTTACAAGCGGCCAAGCTCTCCCAGCAAAGCTTGAGGCATGATTCAAGATTGATGGTTGTGGCTTAGGCGCCTGTGGATTCTCAGAATTCTCGGGTGCTCAAGGCCAGCTCCAAAATGCCTGCCGCGGGATGACCCAGACCCATAGCCACAGCTATCAGCGCTTGGGCGAGTTGGAGTTAGTACCAAGCTGCCAAACTCCAGAGATCGTTTGTTTCGGTGTCTCACTCTAGAATTCAAGCAAGTTAGGAAGGTGTCTCCTTCCGCAGTAGCTTCGGACAGTTTGATCAACACGACGGTTGCAATCTGTGTCGCATGGACAAACCGGCACCTGTGTCGCAGATTGTTATGCATTGCTGGATCTATCTTTGTGGTCTGCCAATGTGACTTGTTAATCGAGTTTGTGTGGATGTGGACCAAGGGGCTGTACGAGAATGATAGTGGCTTAAGCATATCGGATTTGCGATGGGGGTGACACTACTGAAATGCATGACTGCACAAACAAGCAGCTGCAGTCCTCTCACACTTCAATTGCGAAGCACATGGAGGAACATGTGGGCACATCGTTCAATGTACAGCAACTGATTTCTACATGGAGCGCACATCTGCCAAAGTCCTGGCGTCCAAAACTGATGCGTTGCCCTTAGCTTGAAGCCTTATTCTAAATTAGAAGAGAATGACGAAGCAAAAGGAAGGTAAGCGGTAAGGGCAAGGGCTCCTTGATGTAGACCCCCTTTGAAAGGGGGCCCTTTTGAGAGGGATCCTTACATTCTTTTTTTTGATTCTATTGTGATATCTTGTGATGCACACTGCTCTATTGCATCCTCTCTATTCTCAGGCAGTCTCGAGAGCACTTGGCAGTTTGGTCGGTCATCCTGATCAGAGGGCCTGATACTCACTTTTATGACAAAAAGGAAACTTTCCCTCATCATTGCCTTCGTTGTTTACAATATCCTCCGATTGAAGGTTCAGGCAATCAGGAATCTGGAGATGCTCGCAGAGAATGCACAGGCTTGGAGTTGTGCTGTGTTGGCCTGTGTCGGACATAAGAATAGCAAGCGTTCAACCTTCGTTGCAGGGACGCTCGAGCATTATAGCACTCGGAGGCGCCAAGATGCTGGTGGCGCTCCTGGCCATGCACTTACTGTACAAAGAACAGAAAAGAAACCCTCCAAAAAACCTTTACTGTACCAAACTCTCTTGGCCACACCCTTACTTACAACGGCATCAAGGCTGATGTCATTTAAAACACCGCTGACCAGGTCAGACCCAGCGACCAGGTTTCCATCTCGGAACACGCGCTGATGCCGCTCATGGTCCTCATGTTCTTTTCAAACACCAAGGTGCTGCCCTTTGAGAAGATCCGAATAGCCAATACACTGGCAACCCTTGCTGCTTCTCCACCGTCGGGGTCCCCGGGGTACTCATTAATGCAGACTCCCCCCGGTGGTCGTTTTTGGCCGAAGTCTCCCAGGTGTCGTGCAGTGATCATCAATGCAGCATCAATTCCACAACTCATCAGACTCTTGGGAGGACCGAGAACTGGAACTTGTTTTAAACGAAGTGAGAAACGGATGGCTAAAGAGCCAAATGGGCCGAAACGGAAAGCTCCATTGGCAAGACTCCATGATGTCGTTTTGAGATGGAAGACTTAGTGTGAGATTCTCCATGAGATTCGCTGCTCAGGTCATTGTCTTGAACTTTGTGCCGCCCTTTCAGGAAGAACCGGCCCAAGCGACGGGAGCCCATGCACGTTGGCCAGGATAGCGATCGGTCCGTTCAACCACTAAGGCATCCAGCAGAACACAGCAAAGCACATGCATTACGGCATAACTACCACAGGTTTCACTTCATTTACTTTTGCATCGCATCATCCATTGCGAAAAGGGGCCGAGCTCTGCGCCAGTTGCATTTCCGCACTGGTAGCGGAGCCGGTTCCCGAGCCATGTCGCATGGTGGTGGATCCGGCAATGCACCCTTCTGGAAGGACGATGAGATCGTCGTTGATCGCGAAGGGATCCCGCACTTCACTGGCAGTCGTCCTGAGCTCATGCGGGAGTACCGGAAGAGGGTTTTGTTCGCCTATAGCTCCCTTGAAGGCGACGGAGACACGGAGGAGAAGGAGAAGAGAGATCTGAAGAAGAAGCAAAAGGCATTTGCCAAGAAGCTGTTGAATGGACTTCATGGAGAAGCTTGGCGTGCCTGTCAGGACCTCATTACTGACATGGCAAAGCTCTCAGAAGAGCGAGGATTCCAACATGTCCTTGCAGCCCTCCAGACGATCGAGAAGGTCACTGTCATCAAGAAGACGGAACAGTTTGACCGCTTCTTTGAGCAAGGCTATCGAAAGAGAGGCCAAGCACTGGATTCATATTTTCGCACTCGCAAGCAGGATTGGGCAGAGTTGCAAGAGCTTGATGCCGAGACCAAGATGTCCAGTGACCTCCTGGCCTACTTCGTTTTGAAGCAGAGTGGCCTCAGCAGAGATGATCGTCGACAGATTTTGTTGAACAGCGGCTCCAACTATGATCTCGAGTCCATGGAGAAGGCCATGAGGGTTTCCTTCCATGACATCCATGAGAAGGAAAAGACTTTCAAGTTCGCCGGTGCTCGTCGAGGCAAAGGGAAGCCACAGAAGAGGCACTGTGCTCATTTGGTCGACGATGGAGACATGTCCACGAATAACAATGAGGCCTATGAGGCGCTTCATCGAATGACATGACCTCTGAGTATGCTCAGGACTTTGACGGCGACTATGGCCAAGACTATGAGGCTTACCTGGTCGATGAATATGAAGAGTACCAGGACTATAGCTATGAGGCTCGGGAGTTGGAGGAGGAAGGATCAGACATCGGAGCTTCACAAGATGAAGAAGTGTTCCAGGCTTTCAGTGCCATGGACAAGCAGCGCAGATCCTGTCAAGAGTCTCGCAAACGACTTCGAGAGGTTCAGAAACAGCGAGGCTTCTTCAAGGGCGAGCTCACCTTTGAACAACGCCGTGCCGCAGTTCAGAAGGAGAAAGAAAGGACTCGATGTTCCGCTTGTGGCAAGGTCGGACATTGGGCAGGTGACTCGCAATGCGCCAAGACGACCAAGACCTCCGGCCCACATCGCAGCAAGGGCAAGTCGATGGCGGCAAAGCCTACTTGGCTTCCGATGAACCTTTGTTCTTCACCCTGACGATGATGATTTCAATGACGGCCAGGACGTGACCGCCTACATGACCTCGGAGCAGGAGTGCCACATGGAGCAGGATTCCGGCTACACGGAGACCGATGATCGCCGGAAGACACGGGCACGAGTCGATGAAGCCGCCAGGTTGGACCTCGAACGCCACAGCCATCAACGCTAAAGAGTTCAGATGACCTTGCATCCCGGGACAATGTCATCCGTCGACAGCTACAGAGTCCGGTCCGCGTTGAGAAGTCAGATGTCAGCGTGGTCCCAGTTGTCAACATGGTTGCATTGAAACCGGACCTGGAGAACGTGACCGTGAGGAAGCTCCAGGAGGAATATGAGCGTTGGGGCATTCGTGTTTCTGGCACCAAGTCAGAGTTGATCGCTCGGCTGAATACGCTCTTCCAAGGACATCCAGTGGCTTGCAAAGGTTGCTCGAAACAGTTTGTCATGCTCTCGGAGGAGGACGAGCCATCGCAGAAGAGCCCTATCTATGAGTCACCTCAGCCGAAGGTCAAGACATCGAAGATGGCCAGTCACATGGCACCTCCGCCATTGCCATCAGGGTCGAATGAACCAGGCACCGGCTCCGGAGGAGGATACACGACACCGTCACCAGCTGCATTTGAGAGCCCAGATCGTCGTTCGTTTCGAAGTGGCAAGGCAGATCCGGTCATTGAGGATTTGGAGCTTCGAGGACTCCTACGATCTCCTGCCCCATCTACTTCCACGACATCGCCTCCAACGGCGTCGAAGAGCGAGTTCCTGGGATTCATGCCAAGAGAGGTTGGCCAGGTTCTACATGATGTTCCTTGTGCAGCTTGCGGCGGAGATCTCGTGTTGCGTGAGAACCGCCGAGATGGTTCAAAGTTCTTCGGATGCTCACGATTCGGCAAGACAGGATGCCGGCACACTATGGACTACAACCAAGGCATCGATCGGTCGCGGGAGGCACTCCGCCTCCGACAGCGAGGATGAGCGCCAGAAGATCGGGCCAGGGCATTTTGCCTACGCGAATGGCCCAGAAGTGCAAGACCAGAATTCACCAAGCACTGAGCCCAATGCGGAGCCCCTTGAGCAGAATTCAGCTTTGGATGATGCAGGTACAGCAGAGTTTCACCAGATGGAGGCCGTCCCAGGAGAACTGGATGAGTCATGCACGCATAGCAGACGTTGGCGGCAGGCCTATTCTCGTCATCTACCTCCATCAAATGTCAAGACCTTCCACTTTGCTGATGGTTCAAGTGCACCAGCTAAGGTGTGGAGGATTCCATTTTTGTTGGGAGGAAGGCAAGGTGAGGTCATGTCGGCCGAGGTTGAGACAGGTTCAACTCCCCTTCTCCTTTCAGTGACCTCCATGGATTCATTGGGCATGGACCGTTTCTTGAGTCAGAGAAGAGCTCACATCGGGACTCTGGGTGTGGATGTTGAGATCTTGATGACCCGGACGAAGCACCGGGCGATAGATTTGACGAGTTCACAAGGGCTCACCTTGACATCCATGCCACCTCTTCCGTCAGGCCAGGGTCCTACGTTCACCTCACCGAATGAAGACCTCTTACTTTATTTGACGCAGGAAGCAGCTTACCAGATCAGCGAGGCCTTTCCCGCCTCGTCTTTTGTTGTTGAAGACCTTGATGTGCCTTCCAAGGGGGAAGCTGCGCTACTATTAGGAGCTCGAGGTGTTCGCCCTAAAGATCCACGAGGCGAGTTGAAAGTGTGGAAGATGACCCTTGCCGGTGATTGGTGGCATGTTCGGTTCCGCTTGTTAGCTTGATCAAGCCTTGCTGGAAAAAGCAGCGCTTTTTGCATTTAGCTTTTACTTAGAGCCCAATTCATCTCCGCATTGGTAGCGGAGCCTACCGAATACCGGTGGGCAGGTGCTGTGCCGCACCTAGGGTCAGGGATGGCAACGACGGCCGACGCCATCCCTGTTCCCTCATGGGACGGAGCTGAGACTCCTGCTGGCCGAGCCACCCCGCCAGCGGCGGAACAAGAGGGCGGCGCCCCAGCCAGTGGCCGAACCACTGAGCCAGAGCCCGTGAGGAGCGTGGACGCTCCACTCATCGAGGTCGAGGCCGCGGACGAGCACGCCCTGAACTACCACGACCAGCGCACTCCCCAGGACACAAAGGAAAAGGTCATGG